AGGACGCTCTGCGCCAGCAGCTCCGCTCGGCGCGAGAGGTGAGCGGCCCTCCCGGGCCCTGGGTCGCACGGGAGACCCCCTTCAAGAATGGGAAATTGAGGCCTGCTGGGAGCACAGGCCGGGGCGACTACCTCCTCAGCTCCCTACCGGAAGCGCGGGCCACGGGGTCCCGGGGTCCCCGACTCACACCCCACTCTGCGTGTCTTCCCCGGATCCCCCGGGCCGCTCCTGGTGGCAGGGGATAGTGGGGAAGCCTCGGTTCCCAAGGATAAGAATTGTGTCCGGGTTCCATCTCCTAACGTTCATATCCCTGAAGGAGGGACCAGAAGTACTCCCAGCTCCAAATTTCAGTTGAAATCAAACTTGGAAAATTGGCGATTTCCCCGGCTGTCAGCCAACGCTAGATCCCACTTTCAGGAGCTTCTTAGGAGACTCATTACCAAAGAACTTACCTAGGGAAAGTTCCAGGAAGGTGGTCTCCAGGGACAACTACGGGGCATTAGGAATCAATTATTATTGCCAATTAATTTCACGCATCTTATGTTGTAAAAAGCAGATAAACACAAGTGGCAAAGTGAGACCCCTGCCGTTTTTTCTTTCTTGTCTTTTTTTTTTTTCCTTTGAGACAGAGTCTCGCTCTTTTGCCCAGGCTGGAGTGAAGTGGCGGGAACTCAGTTCACCGCAACCTCCGTCCCCGGGTTCAAGTGATTCTCCTGCCTCAGCCTCCCAAGTAGCTCGGATTACAGGCGCCTGCCACCACGCCCGGCTAGTTTTTGTATTTTTAGTAGAGACGGGGTTTCGCCATGTTGGCCAAGCTGGTCTCGAACTCCTGACCTCAGGTGATCCACCCTCCTCGGCCTCCCAAAGTGCTAGGATTAAGGCGTGCGCCACTGCGCCCGGCCCCCTGCCGCTTTTTCTACTGCCAGAGACTGGAGGGGAAATTTGCCGCTGTGAATGAAAGGGGCAAGGAGTTTTCCATAGGCTGGGTCTGTGCCAGATTGCAGTGGTCTCCTAAAATGCAGATACATTTGCATTAGATCGGCTTCTGTATTCATAGTGGGTTTTGGTCCTACTGTCTGACTCAGTATGGCATGGTCATGGGCGCAATGGAGGTCTTGTCTGCTTGCCAGCCTCGATGAAGCTGCAGCAGGGTGTTGGGGATCAAGGAGGAAGAAGGCAGCCTGCATGTGGGTGTGGCAGAACAGTATGGTGGCAGACACCTTGGTCTGGAACCATGGTCAGGTTGCTTGCTGACTGGCAGTGCCCGGCTTCCTGGCTGTCTGCCTGTGCCAGGGACATGGCAGATAAAGCCCCAGCCGTGGTAAGACTTGCGAGGGCTGGTACATGAGTGTGTCTGACTGTGGGTGAAGATACCAGTGCATTGTCAGGTTGACATGTCCAAGTCCAAGCCCCAATTCTCACCAATGTTCTTAATATTCTTTCCCTGACTGGTGGGGTTGCAGTGGTAGTGGATACAGTGACCTAGTGCCTTGCTTTTGAGGGAGTGGTTGTGGGCTGCAGCTAGGCTTTTACCAGCCCTGAGGTGCTTTAGGTGGGCTGAGGGTTTTTTGATGCAGTAGACATTTTCCTTGCGGGTTCAGTGAGAAGATTAAAAAGATAGAAAAGGCAGACTTGTGTAGGTATGCATTCCCAAAGCTCACCTCCAGTAGAACTTGAGCACTTGGAACCTGAAAAATGTAAAGAACTGGTCTATATAGTGAGAGCTGTGGATTGTTCTAGTCTTTTGCCCATCCCAAAATTTTAGTGATAGCAAAGGGGCACTGGAACCAGAGGCCAGAGGGAAATTAAACTCACGTGCTGGCCTGAGGAGGGGATGGAGCCGGGAGCTCAGACTCTCCCTCATCCCATGGGCGTTTTGTAATACTGACATTTCCAGATAGAACCTGCTGCCCTAGTCTAGCTACCCACAGTTCCCTCTGAGATGCTATATTTGGAACCTGGGCAGTTTAAACTGAGAAAGTTACCTTTAAATCCGATGAGTATTGGCTGGGTACGGTGGCTCAAGCCTGTAATCCCAGCACTTTGGGAGGCTGAGGTGGACGGATCACGAGGTCAGCAGTTCGAGACCAGTCTGGCCAACATGGTGAAACCCCGTCTCTACTAAAAATACAAAAATTAGCAGGGCGTGGTGGCACGCACCTATAATCCTAGTTACTCGGGAGGCTGAGGCAGGAGAATTGCTTGAACCTGGGAGGTGGAGGTTGCAGTGAGCCGAGATTGCGCCATTGGACTCCAGCTCTGGGCGACAGAGCAAGACTCCGTCTTGGGGAAAAAAAAAAATCCAATGAGTATTTTCAGTAGGTTGAATAGATGCCAAATTATTTGCTTATTCATTGCCTGCTGTGTATCAGACACTACCAGGCCTGGGGCCACAGGAGAAGGCATCAACCTTGCCAACACTTGAGGGTAGACAGTGTGCTGATGGGAAGCAGTGAGGAGTCTGCTACAGGTACTG